AAAACGTGGCGATATCCTAGGAATATCGCCTCCCAGGGGGGTGGGGCAAATACCCTAGGAATATCGTCCCTCTTTAGGACATTCGCCCCCCATATATGCGACGTGGTTTATTCAAATAATTTCGTGATACTTTCATCTTATTAGTGCCTTACACGTTTGAGAATTTAACTCTGCAAAACTAAAGCTTTTTTGTCTTTTTTTGAAACGTATTATTGGAGTATTGGCAAGTGTTACCATTCAAAAATTTACAAACTAATATTGAAACTGTAAAAAACAGTTTCATGTATACGCGCATTCACTAATGAGTAATGACAACTTATAAACCATACATTTTCCGATAACGACAAAACGCTTGTGTAGCCTTTAGTCGCTCTTAGTGACTAATATTTTTTTTTGAGGGGGGGGGGCAAAATGGGGGGGGAGGGTATGTATGCATCATAGCATGAATATTTCTTCTCAGACTTACTCTGTATCGTATGAAAAAGCAACGCAATTTTGAGAATGCGGAAATGGTGTCTCATAGAACCTAAAATGATTTAAATGCAACATTTCTGATCAAAATCACATTGGGATCAAGGTGACTTTTCCAATTTATTTAATTCCGAGTAGAAATGTCTGGAAAAATTCATGTCTTCGATGTACTTTATAATCTTCGGAATTCTGTTAGATTTCATCCCCAAATGCATGAAATCGCAATTTAGGGACCCTAGATTTCAAAATGTTCCGGACCTGGGACCCTCCTAGACGGTCTCACGCCTTCGGCGTGAGGTTTGCCCCCCCCCCCCGCAAAATTAAGGTTTGGCTACGCCAGTGATTATAGCTGTACGATTATAGCTACAAAGGGTTGAAGTTATTGTTTAAAGTAAAGTATAGCTGAAGTTAATAAATTAAAGTTTTACAAAATCTCTCTTCAGACTCGCGTGTTCACCCACTGTGGTTCGTCAAACCTCGACGGCTCATATTTTTCGTTCTGCCTTTTTTTCCTGTTTTGCCCCCCCTCCCCCAGTGAAAATTCCTTAAAAAAGGCACTGCAGACCCAAGTCATCTTTATCCGGTTACAATTAATGACAAAGATTTAGAGTTGATTTTTGAGGCCAAGATTTTGGATTTAATGATGAGAAGTGATCTTAAATGGAACAGTCATGTTGACAGTATCATTAAGAAAGCCTCTAAAAGATTGTATTTTTTACGTCAGTTAAAATGTGTGAATGTACCTGCTGCAGAGATTTGTTCTTATTGTACTTGCATCCGCCCGATAGTAGAATATGAATCGCCCGTTTTTTACCTGAGTAAAGACATTGAACTGATACAACTTCTTGCTATGAGAATTATATTTTCCTGGGAAGTCTTATATCGAAGCAATCTCACTTTCTAATCTTGGAAAGCTTGAAGAGAGACGCCAGGCTTCGTGTGATAAGGGACCATTCATGCATTATTTATGACCGGGGATGGGCTGGCAAAATTCAATTAACAACTAAACAAAATGTCCTGCCCCACCCCCTGCATCACAAAAAAATTCAATGACCCCCTTCACATGAATTCTAAAAAATAGTACCCCCCGCCCCACACACACACACACACACACACACACACACACACACACACACACACCACCACCACCACAACCATGCATCACTGACAATATAATAAATATACAGTACGGTATAGAAATGAGCTCTTTAAACTTGTTGTAAAAGGCATCAGATCTTTCATTTCCTTTTACTTTCATATGCATGCCTATCGAACCATTAATTAAGCTGCAGAGTTTCCTGTTGACGAGTAAAATCGTATGGCGTTAAACAAGTAAAAAAGTACTGGAGCGCAATGGGTTAACTAGGGACATTGTCAGATTTTTTGGGTAACTCATTAAGAGGCTAAAGCTGGGAGTCATACCATTTTTCACTACTAAAGCCGGTTTTCCACTAGGCGGAATTTTGCGCACGGAGCGGAATTTCCCTTTGTCTTTTCTAACCCGAGAAATCACAAGACAAAGAAAAATTCCGCTTCGCGCGCAAATTCCGCCTAGTGGAAAACCGGCTTAAGAGTGCAGTAAAAAGTTGCTCAAAAAGGAAAAAGTTGCTTGAAGTTGCTCGAACCGAAAAAAGTTGCTCCAAATGCAAAAAGTTGCTCAAAAGTTGCTGAGCACAATAGGGACATGCCGAGCAGAGCTTCCCCGTTGACGAAGAAAATCGGTTAGGAGTATAGGGTTATGATTACAGTGCTGTAGGAAGTTTCAGTTGATTGGGGAGCTGAAAGCGAGGGCCAAAGGCCCGAGAACATTTTTTAATTTAGAGTCTCTGAAATGCCATTTCCTGGACTTTGGGGGAAGATTTGACAGAATTCTGATGGTCAGAAAACAGAATTTTAGTTATGTCGAAATTTACAATTTAGTAGCACTAAATGGCGAAGGCATATTTAATTAACTATATATTGGATAAGTTGCAGGAAAGTATGAGAAATATCTTCATTCTTTGCAGTTTGTCATGGATAATGTAACCACTTAAAATTCATCAATTGTCGGTATTTTAAAGGTATATTATGGGAGGGGAGGGGGGGGTCTGCAGCCCCCTCGGTTGCTACGGCCCTAGGTTAGGAGTAAGGGTAGGATACTATGTCAATGAACTACAAAGACCGCTAAACAGTTAGTGACTCGGACATTTGACTCGGGCTCGGATTTGACTCGGACTTGACACGGTAAACCGACAAACTCCTTACTAAGTTAAACCATGTATAAAATACCTAGTATAAACTAGTGTATATAGTATATGCCAAACTTTCCCTGGACGTAATGTTGCTACATCTCTTACTCGTTAATTATCCTTTTTATTAAAATGTATACATAATTGAAATATGACAAAAATGTGTTGCAAGTTCATAGCAAAAGTTATAAAGGTAGATGTTCAATTATTTTTCATATTAGGTGCACGCATTCCTTTTTGGGTATTTGTGCATTGCATTTTGGGTCTATCTGTTGATTAAAATTGAGAATTTTGCTGGCTATACATGAATTAAATTTTCTGCCTTGCTCGCTCCTTGTGGTAGCAA